GAGAGAGAGAGAGAGAGAGAGAGAGAGAGAGAGAGAGAGAGAGAGAGAGAGAGAGAGAGAGAGAGAGAGAGAGAGAGAGAGGAATGTTGTGTCCACACGACTCTGTTATCAGCGGCAGTCGTTTGACACAGCTGTTGTCAGGTGAGGTTGCTCTGGATGTGAAATAAAATTTTGTGGGAAAGAGTTCTTTTTGGGTGCCGGCAAGGGATGAGAACATCAGTAGATTACTAAATTCTGGAACGATAGAAATATTTAACATCCCTTTCTTTTTCCTTGCGGAAGGGAAAAAGGGAGGGTGTGGATAAAGCTAGGGGGTACCCTTTTTATTTCCTTTTTCATGGAGTCCAAAGCCTGACGAGCGGGTCAGGTGTTTGTGATTTTTCTACCCTTTCTTTTCTTCTCTTCTTCTGTTCGTAAAGCCCAAAGCCAGTCGAGCGGGTTATGTGGGTGTTTAACAGAATCGGTGTTTTTCGTTTCCGCTCACTTTTTTCGGCAGATGTTCCTTTTCATTAGAATGCCGGCAAGGGATGAGAACATCTGTGAATTTTGGAATGATAGACATATCCCTTTTTTGAAGTTCTTTCCTTTTCCCTCCTTGCAGAAAGGGGAGGTGTGGATAAAGCTAGAGGGCACCCTTTTTATTTCCTTTTTTATGGTCCAAAGCCTGAAGAGTGGGTCAGGTGTTTGCGACTTTCATTTTTTTTTTCTAGGCGTTCTTTTCTTCTGTTCGCAAAGCCCAACAAAGCCAGTCGAGGGGGTTATATTTAAAAAATGGCCGGCTGGCGGTTTTCCTTTCCGCTCACTTGAAAAAGTGAAGTATTTTTGAAACTTTTTCGTTACATTGGATCAATGACAAGTAAGATTTGATGATGAATTTGCAATCGCTCATGCGCAAAGTGAGCACACGAATGAACTACCAAGGACGAGAAGAAGAATCATCGGCGAAGTGCTTTGCGTTGGGGCGAAGTGCTTTACGTTGGGCCGAAGGACAAATATACCGATCATGCACAAGTGAGCCCAAGTATGAACTAAGAAGGACAAGAAGAAGAAGAATGGTCTGTGAACGAAACGTGCAAAGGGCCGAAGTGGGGGCATCGAACAGAGAGCAAGGGTAATGCGCATAAAGAGAATCGGCAAGCACGCCTTATTTGGTCTCGATGATCATGTGGAGGTTTTCAAAAGGTGTGAATTTTGGCGCAGCAGCTGTCGAACGAGGGACAGCAGAGTCTGCAGCGAATTGCAGTTTTCACTGCCGCGTAAGATTGCCGTGGAATCGTCCACAGAGCACGGGAGTGGGGTGCGGAACAGAGCGATGACATCACGAGCAGTGTAGGGCCTGTAGGCAAGGGGTCTTTTTTGGCTTGATGATTGTTTGAAAGCTAGGAGAAGATATTTGGGTGGGTGGGGGGGGGTTGGAAAGAAAAGAAAAGAAGTTTGGAGAAGACAAGTGTTGGGTTAGCTGTTGGGAGAGGGGAAGGCAGAATCCGGGGGCAGGTGTTGCAAGTTGGGCAGGCAGAGTCTACATCAAATTGTATTTTTGAGCGCCTTCAGAATGGTGTGGAACCGTGTCCTTCGGTACGACCAGTATGATTGGAACGGTACAGAGAAGGATGAGCATATTTTTTGGCCCCTGCGCAAGGATGACAGGCGTAAATTAAGAAATGGTCTAAATTGAAAAAAAGAAAAAAAAAAAAAAGAAAAAAAAAAAGATGCTGTAGAATCACCGGCAGGGAACGGGAACACGGAGTCCGACAGAGAGCTGGCATGGTAAGCAGTGTAGGCGCTGTCTCTTATACACATCTAGATGTGTATAAGAGACAGGACCAACACCAATCTCTTCCCTCTTGAAGAGTCT